ATAAAACAAATAAAATTAGAAGAAAAACTGAATGATATTCAAAAAAATATAATTACTCATGATTTAATTGATAATTATAAAAAACAAATTGAACAATATGAAATAATTTTAACATATATGAATAATTTAGAAGAATTGAAAGATAAATGGACATTTTTTCGTTTATTTATTTGGCGTTTTTGTTTAGATATATATAATTGGAAATCACTTGCTCATTCTATTCATCATATTGAATATTTAATTAATAATCTTGATAATTATCAAATAAAAGAATTTATACAAAAAAAATTTAAAACTTTGTCAAATTATTTTATTTTATTTATTAAAGATGTAATTACTCTACAAACTAAATCAGAAAAACAACCGTTAAAAGATCCGATAGCGAAAGAAAATGAATCATCAAGAATTAAGTATGATATTAAATTACGATATTTACAAGAGTAATAGTAAAATTGTAGGAATTATATATTTAATAAAGAATACGTTTTTTTTTGCTAATTGATAGAAAAATGTTCGTAATTAGTTGAAGCATAGATGAAATAGACTCTAGTAATCCATCTGCTCATTATAAAAAACAAACTCGAGCATGCTCATATCAAAGTTCACGACCATACGTTACTTTTGAACTTGATGATATTCGTAAATATCAACGACAAGCATTATTAAAGTCGCCATATGGTACCATTCCACTTTACAGAAGACAAGCATGGGTAGAAATTCTTCAGTTAAATATAAAAAGAAAAAGATCAAATATTTGTTTTTCTTTTCAAAAGGCAGCAGCTAACCTATTTCACGATCATCCATTACATCTATTACGTCATATGCAAAATTCGCTCCGGATGCAAGTAAAAATCAAATTGTATTTCTTTTTGTGAAACACCTCCTGATACGAGTGTTAGAGCTTAGAAGTAAAAATTTCGATTTCCCTGAGCTCCCTGGATGTGCAACAATCTCGATGATAAATAACAAGTATGAATAGAATTAATAAATATTCTCTTGATAATTTGTATTATAGAGAGTAACAAATAAATATAACATAAAGATTTACACTGTATAATTATAACAATCAGATCAAAATACGACGCCACAACTCATAGACTCACACGCATATGATTACAACACATCACTCCGTATTTCCCTCTAGTGC